AGCCTTGTACTAAAATAGTTCATTTTAATGCTTTTTGATGCTCTTAATACCTAGCAATTTTATTTAAAAAAATAATTCCTCGGTAAACGTCCAATTCTTTAGAAAAGACCCTTAATTTTTCTCTACAATCGATTTTAAATATTGACGTCAATAAAAGTGCATTGGCAAGAAAACAAAACACAACTTTTTTTAATTATAAGAAGGTATTAACGATAAGTATAAAATTAATAAAACAAACATAACAGATTACGGTTTAGGGAACAATTCATCGTAAGGTATATTTTTAGTGATCTTGTTTGCCGCGTCCAGTATAATTGTAGACACGCCTCTCTCAGCGAATGGTTTAGCCGCTTTCAGGAGCTCAGCTTTGTTTTCATTCAGCGCCATATTTGTCGCATCTTCTGTAAAAGCAAATTTAAAAACTTCTATAAATTCCGTTAAAACACCAAGTATTCCAACCAAGTTTCCACATTATAATTTATTAAAATAAGTAAACATTTGTTGAAGCATAGGTTAAATAATGAATGAAATTGCTTCTTACCCAAAGTTTTATCACCATTGAAAAGCCCCTCGAGTTTAATCTTGTAGTCTCTGATAGTGATGTCTGTGTCGATGCCAGTAAACTCAATGTATTCCACGCCATCTCTCTCCACTATTTTTATCCTCATAAACGCATCAACGTTGCATTTAACTGAAAAAATAAATTCTATTAATAATGTGAATTTAGTTTTATAGTATTTCCGAACTGTACTTATAAAGTTTTGTAAAGCTACTAAATGATGGCCTTCAATAAAAACTTATAAAACGAACAACTGGTAGACAATGCATCTACAATTATTTTTTCCTGTTATCATCGTTTAAAATCAAGTGAAACCCTTTTGTTGCTCTTTTGCCATTGTATACTAAAAAGTAACATTTGGTATACTACGTTGAACAAATGAAATCTTTCTTCTATCAAGACTTTTAAGATTAACGGTTGTAAATAGTATAATGCAAGAAATGGTTACTAACTGGCATCAGCAACGAGCGTTCCCTCTCCACGGATTGGCAGCAGCAAGAATTGTATGTCCACTTTGTATTTGCCTTCGAAATGCAGACGCGGGAAGCGAATGCGAGTGCGGAATGTTAATTTTTCTAAATCAACACTGAAAAATAATAGTTTTTCCATGTAAATCTCAGAAAACAAATTAATTAAAGCGACATCTCGTGCTAATATCTAGTACTATACTCTGGCAAAGCAAAAATATTACAATGCAAACTTTACAATAGATGGCGTTAATTTCTTTTATTTACAAATGTAAATAAACGTGAATTTCCACTGCCCATTGTTCTGTACGAAGAAAATTATTATGTCTCTTTATATTTAAAAGGGTGTGAGAGGGATGACAATAAAAGGCATTTTTAGCACAAGAAATTAAAGTTAAGATTTTATGACAAGATAATTTTAAACAACTTGACCGTGAATTATAGTAATTGAAAAATTATGAGATAACATGCAATTACAGACTTAAGGAGAGACGGCAATTAATTAAAATGATACCCGTTTACATCGGAATTGAAAAATTATTTCTTTGGGCTTTGTTATTGCAAAATAAATTCTTATAAATTCTATTACAAGCAATTTTTGTTATTACTTACTCGACAAGTTTTAAGCTAAAGTTGCCAGCTCCAGAAACCTTTATATCTTTGCCCACAGCTTGGAATGATCTGCTGTTACTCCCCACAGGTGGGGTTATCTGTAAAAATGATCATTTCGTGACGCTCACTTGTACTTTGTCGGATTAATAAAATATTCGATTGTTACATCTTTAAATTTAAATAAATACTTTAAAATCTAAGCTGGAAAATCAATATTGTCAAGGAAACGATTAATACAAAACCGCTTGTTGCATATACAATGTTTCAAACTACATATAAATAATTATTTGTTTAAACACAACAGAGTCACGCCATTTTGCTTTCAATAAGTTAGATATCAACTGTTCGATAGAATCTTGGCACAAATTATGTAACAATCATTAACTCCCTTTTAAATTTAAGACTTTTATCATTTTTTTTCAAATCCGCTAATTTTTTTGACCTACTTCCCAAAAGAAGGAGGTACTCAATTCGTCTGTATTTTTTTTACACGTAACTATTCGAACTGAACTCTAAGCTTGTGGTAGGTACTCACGACAAAAACCGATTGGTGGGAATCGAACCCACAACGAATATTATTTCAACTTCAACTACACTCCATATAAAATTAATACATACCTCATGAATATAGAAGGGGTCTAGACTGGGCACGTTCAGCTCGGGGATGCCCTCCACTAGTTTTGGTCGCAACTTCTCAATGGAGTCACGAACGCACTCGTTCACTGTATCCTGATCTCGTTTGCACACTTGAATGTACTCCGCTGTAAACAGTTATTATTTAAATTCCATAATAAGTGTCGATAAATGGTTACTAAGGTAATTAATTCATATATTCGGTGATTAGCTTCGATAAGCGCCAATAGACTAATGGTTTGGGGTACGGACTATCGATCTTTCGGTCGAGGTTTCGAATCCCGCTATTCGACTATTGTCGTAAACCATATCCTAGCACAAGCCTAGACCTCAGTTAGAATGGTTAAAGGAAATATTAGTAAATTAACAAAAATCTACTAATATTTAAAAAAAAATCCTACTGATATAGTAAATACGAAAGTTTAAATGGATGGATGTTTGTTAGAGTTTGTAGCCTAAACGGCTGAACGGATCTCGATGAAATTTGGCATAGATGTAGAGAGTAGTCTGGAAGAACACATAGTCTACTTTTTTTTTTATTCCGAGCCAACGAAGTCGCATGCGAAAGTTAATATACATTAAATGATTGAGTTTTCACAGTCTATACCTTTTAAATGTTTAATCTCGATGACTAATCTTATTTCCTACTGAATCTGCCTTCTTATTAAATCTACGAGTAGCAGATTAGAATCATATTTCCGTACACTAGTACTAATGTACAGAATAATAAATCTTGAACGGTTAATCGTTTATAAATCCTATAACATTATCGCTCCCGTAATCGACTAGATAATAAACTATCGCTTAACTGCACCGCAATTAGTAAAGTGCCAGTAACTGTTGTTATCATTTTCGCTAGATGGCGCATAAATCGTATAGCAGAAGTTTTGATTGCATTTTCTTTAAAACTGTATTTTTTTTGTCTGCTATGTTTAATCCGAATACTGAAATGTATGAAAGACAAATTCCAATAATTACAACATTATCCGACTAAACTATCGCAGTACTGTTTAGTCTCGCGTTGATTCCTATGACCTTATATGGAGTTGTGCACACTAACTACTCGATTTTAGTTGTGCAAATAAACAGTTGAATTCGCTCCGAAACAATTGACGATCGCACAAATGTTGTGCGGTAGATTCGTCGAAGGTGCACCTGGTCTAAAACTGAAGATCTAGACAATCATACTTATGTCGTAGATATTTGTTCCAATATAACTCCACAATGGCTAAAGAGATTTTAGTCGAATTTAGAACAGAGATCGGAACTGTCTGGAATAGAGAATCAATTGAATATTTTTTTATTACGCACCATACCTACTAAGTCGCAGACAACTAGTGTAATAATTCCCAATTATACTAAAATATAAACATTTTGAATTAGCGTTTACGAAGTCACTGGATTACAATGGAAGAAGCCACGTCTAAATGACATGTGATTTGTTGACCCTGACCCGAGTACTATTGCTTTGCGGTGCACATGTACCACATGAAGTATTATGTCCTTGGTATAGCATATAACTGTGAAAAAATCTCCCCATAAAAATAATGATGGTTTACATGTCATGTGAGAATTTAAATGAGATTAATTTATTTTCTAAACGCAAACCTAAGTTTTAAAACAATCATATTAAAATTAAGATAATCATAAAATTAATAATACAGACCCATTGCCAAGATGAAAATGGACTATCGATGGGTCCGAAACTAGTCGGTGCCGCCACCGGAAAAATAGACGTGGGCATAATTAGTTATAATAATGTCTTACGATTTAAACAATTTGAATATATTAAATGAAATTATTCTTGGCATACTTATAATGTTTTAATTTATTGTTAAAATCAAATATTTATTTAAAAATGTGAACATTAAAAACCTAATTAAATTGAATATTGAACAAAATAAATTGATTATCAGAATTAATAATTCAAACTTACGTATTTTAGAATAACATTGCTCATAATAAGTGTACATAAATAGAAGCACTATAAATTTATTACCGGCCAGCATTTTAAAACAAATTATATGCAGAAATATTACCGACTTTGACAAAGGCTAAGTAAGCACTATGCAGTCGTGTGCGGTGTACGATTATTATATATGTCGGCATATGAAATAGGTTATTATTAACAAGTTCAAGGTAACTGCATCGTGCACAAATGGCATCCATGAGAATAAAATCATTATTAATAACAATATTTTTTTAATTCAACGACAGAAAACGACACATTTAAAAAGAATTACTTGTATTGGCTATTTCACGTCAGATTTGAACAAACAATTATAATATTAGATATCTAGCGGTAACCCTCAAATGCATCCGCAAAGAATTCAAAAGAATAATAAATAGCCTAGATGTTCTCCCAGACAAATCAACAACTATGATTCGCTTGCGACGTCATCGGCACGGATAAGTAACCAATAACATTTCTGTAAGCACCAGCTACATCTCCTCAGTCCCTGAATTACCCGGAACGGCAGTACAAATAAATATTTTAATAATTGGGATCTCGTTATCAGGAACAAGTATGTTCACGAAATATTTTCCTCGACATTACATACTCATGCCAATCTTATGATGTGTGTAGATAGATAGATTAGAAATCTGGGTCTTCTTGCTCTATGGTAGCAAGAAACAATTTTCCTAAGAAACTAACGCATTATTGTAAAATGTATACTTACTCTACTCGAGTGCTACACACTCCTAAAAACATTGCAATGTCCTGTAATCTTCTTCATTAAGGTTATTACACTTAGATTAAGTTATTTTTGACCAACATGTTCAAGGTAACTTTATAAAGCAGACAGGAAAAACACTAATATTATTGCGGAAAAATTCAATTTTTTATTTAGGTATCGCAAAAAAGAACAAATTATAACCTTTATGACCTTGCAATACTATTTAATACGTTAATACAAAATATAATTACTCTTTAGATTTATTACTACTTATGTCAGTCTGACTAATTGTGCGAATTCATCAAGAACATAGAAATGAATGGAGTAGCATGTTTTTTTTTCTTAAAGATCTTGAAAAAGGTATAGGACAAAATAATTGATTTTGAAACTGCAGAACAGTTTTCCATTTATGTAGCAACTACGACTATACAAACTAACTTGCCAAACTTCATTTATTTTTTCAGAGAATTATAAATCACAAAATATTATTTCCTCTAAAGATCGCAAAAATAAAAGGTCAGACGAAGGCAAGTTATAAATGATAATGAAATGAAGGTTATTTGTACATAATCTTCCTATTGTTTAATCACTGCAATATTTATAACTGAGAAGATGGCCTTAGTTGCTATAGAGATTTAATTATGATTTGCCACGGATTCATACAAAATATAAACGAATATAAGAATGTAATTGTTTTTTCATAGAATAATGATAACTAACCGGTAGAGGTAGACCTAGAAAGAGATGGATGGATTGCGTGATATGTTACATGATCAAGAAGGGAGGGATGTCTGAGATGACGGATGATAGAGTGCTTTGGAAGACGAACACGGTGCGCCGACCTTACTGGAGTAGAATAAGGCAGGGGAAATGGAATGATGACTAACAAGCTAGGTCGACGTCGAAGAGTCAGGAGATCAATAATTTGCACAATAATTTTAAAACCTAAGATATGACTTACTAGCTGTTGCTCGCGACTTCGTTCGCGTGAAATTTAAAAAAAAATAATGTAAAAACTTGGCCTATATGACAACAGAGCTTTTTAATGGTGCAGAAATTATTGAAATCGGCCATTAGTTTTTGAACTAGTTCAATACATACAAAAATACAAATCTTTCCTCATTATAATATTAGTATAGTTAGCGGTCCAAATACATATTACCAGCAGGAAATTAAAAAATACACAAAAATGTTTGGTTTTTTATTTTTAAAAAGCCTAACCGTCTATTATGTCCAACTGTAAATTATTCTGCACGCCTTAAAAAATAATATAGCAATATCACTCACGTATATCCCAATGCCAACAACAAATTCCACCGATAAATAAATGTAGAATTAAATAAAGATACACGAAGTGACATAACATGTTTTAGAAACAAACAGATGTATAACAACTAGAAATGTTAAATTTAATAATTACTAGTCTTTGAAAGATAACAGCTTGATAAACATTATGCGACCAAGTTCAGATGCTGGGTATTTTATAGAGGGGCATTAGAAGCACTTCATTGTTAACAAGATCAAGGTATAGGCCGAGACGTAATGGAGGCTTCAGGTTAATGAAGAAAAATAATTACAAAGTCGCATCGGAAAAATGAAGGAAATTCATTGACCTAGTTTATTCTTCTAAAAATCGATTAAAACGCAATGAACTAGCTTTTGCCCGCGACTCCGTCCGCGTGAAATTAAAATAAACAAAAGTGTGTAGCCTATGTGTTCTTCCAGACTATCCTCTACATCTGTTCCAAATTTCATCGAGATCCGTTTAGCCGTTTAGGCTCCAAACTTTAACAAACTTCCATCTATCTATCCATCCATCTAAACTTTCGCATTTGAAAACAATGAACAAGGTAAGCTTAATCTAAAACTTTTTAATACGTAATAACCATAATTCAGAAATAATTTAAATGATGAAGCCTCTATTTGTTATGTCCTAACGGATACTGTCGTCACTGGTAAAAAAAAGGAGGCGGTGGCTTTTTCATGCGAGCCAGAAATGATGTTTGATTTTAAACCATAGATTATTTAATAGTTGGAATGTATTATAATTTAAAACATTAATTTAATCAAAATATAACCTTTTACTAACGTTATTAACAGCTATTTGTTACAACCTTAGATTGTTAGATGGACAAAAGGCTAAGCTGAGATTGCCCTTAATCACATAGCTATGGCCTATGGCTTACTTTATTTACCTTCCAACTACTTAGGTCTTTGTAAGGTGCGGTACAATTAGTTAACCAGTCAAAAGATATACATTAAATGTAACTGGAAATATACTGGATAATGCTATTGACCTGTAAATGTTTAATTCATATAACAGTGAGTTTGCAAAATCTTAAATCTTAAGATATTGTTGTGTAAAAATCATCATCGTCATCATCACCGGCTCACTATACGTCCCTTCTAAGGGGCTCGGAGCCTACCCTAATAAGGGGTGACTAGGCCATAGTCAACCACGCTGGCCAAGTGCGGGTTGGTTGACTTCAGACATATCTTTGAATTGTTCGGCGCTATGTGCAGGTTGCATCACGATGTTTTCCTCATGGCTCAGTGGTTTAAACACTTGACTTATAATCTACAGGTCTTGGGTTCGAATCCCGCCGTGTACCAATGTGATTTTTGATTTTTCGAATTTTCATATGTACATAATTTACCAGAGGTTCTTAAGGTGAAAGAAAACATCGTGTAAGAATACTTAGAAAGAATTAACGATGTTATGTTTCTGTACTACTTCTAGGTAGTGGAAATCTGCGTGTACATTGACGTAAAATTCACATGTTATAGTTAAATATGAAAACAAACACAGACATTCGAATCAATCGCGTCTTGATCAAAAAATGTAATTGCGTAAGCAACAAACCATAAGCTTAGGTTAGTGCTTAAAAAAAACTTCAGAAGAACGGTAATTTAAAGCACAAATTATGATTGTTATCTGTATCAAAATATATTTCAAACATAATTTTATTACTGCAATCAAAACTTTTATATCCAATTGTGTTTCTTAAAATAAAACTCGACCAAAAATGTTGTACTAAGCTATTCTTTTTATGATATAACAGATGTAATCAACGAAATACGAAATAATGAACCAACGTATCCGGGTAACATTTTCCTAGTAATATTTATAACAATTTACATAACGTTCATAAATCACGAGCAATGCTGGGTTGTCACAACTGCGTTTACACTCCGACCGTCATTAAGTACAAGGTAGTAATAATATAAAATTCATATTTATCACGGTCGAATATAATATAACTAGCTTTGGGCTGCGACTCCGTATGCGTGGAATTAAGAGGAAAAAAATAGTTAAAACCTATGTATTCTTCCAGAATATATTCTACATCTAAGCAAAATTTCATCAACATCCGATCAGCAGTTTGGGCAACAATCTAACAAACATCCATCCATCTAAACTTTCGCATTTATAAATGCAATATTATAATATTAGTAAAAAATAATATGTAACCTGTATATTCTCGTGTATACGAAGAAAAACAATTTTCAATCACAGTAATTGAATATCTGTTTTGTTTTTTAATTCACCCTTTGCCACAAACGCCAGTTATTTCCTAAGTAAACGATTAGTGGAACTTATTTATACTTATATCGATATCCTTCCGAGTTGACATCAAAAACAAAACAACAATTAAAATAAGCGCCATCTGTCTTGTGACTAACTAATTAACTTGTCATTGTCATACAGATGATTCAAACTCATAAGAAATCTTTGTTATTTCTCAAAACGTACGACAGATATCGCTGTTGGAATAATAAATCAAAGGATCTTTTAAGTTGGATCAAATTACAAATTATTAAAACTATTCATCAAGATCGTTTTAGACGTTTTGAAGTTTTTTTAGTATCGCGACACAGTTTTTTTACTTTTAATCACATAATAAAGTACATCTTTTCATCTTAGATAGTTTAGTCTATATTTTGTCCGCAATATTATATCTAACATATATAAATTCTTCAATTGACGCTATGGCAGTTATTTAAATTAAACTAAATAATTCGAAGCTCTAAATACCACGTTGTATCATATTTTCAAATCAGTTATTATGTACCAATTTCAAATTATCTCATCAAAGCAAAATATTGTCGCTGAACCGCTAAAAGTTGTATGTGGTCACAACATATAGTAAAGGTATTATAAGAAATTCAAGGGTAAGTTGAGTAAAACATGATAAATACGCGAACCGCAGAATGTTCTCCGAACAATATTATGATAACTCGTAAACATTAGTATACAAACTGAAACAATACAAACTTATACAAACTTAAAATACTGATTAGAAAATAATTCGATTAGGATATAATACACCTAACTAATAACCTCAAATATAAATCAATTGTTAATTAAATGTAATTACCAAACAGTAAACAGCAAAAATTTTTTAGTAATTTGTAGTCATTATTAAAATACCTTCTTTTTACAAATATGTTTACAACTACAGTAAATATTCAACGGAAACAAAATCTGATTCATTATGATTGTGTGCTTCGGCAAATGTGACGTAGACAGATAAGCCGGGAACTATGACCTCTGTGTGATCAGGAATACAGTCCAGTTGATATTATGCTCCCGCGGTACGTCAATTGTCCTCAAATAATGTGGAAGTGCTGTGTAGTTCTGTCTGTTCTATTAACTGTTGGATTTGGACAAGGTATGTTACATTGTAATGTTATTTTTATTAAGATTCTAGGTACCTTTAGTCGTGTTTGTTTATGATTTTTTTCTAACCACTTTATAGTACTACGGCCACGTTATATCATAGTGTTACCATCTTTTGTAAGCCATGTATTTATTACTATTATTGTTTTATATGAAACTAGTTATTTTAATGACATAATGAATTAAAACTTTGTGAATCGAGCATGATAGATTTGGTAATGCAAAATGTTTATATAAAAATTAAATATTCAAAGTATGATGCAAACATGATTGACAATATGACAACATCATTATAAATTGTAGTATGAGTAACGTGCTTTTGTCGGAACTGGTCTGATCGTTACAGATGATGTTGAGGTTACAACAGACTCAAAATTGGCGGAAGGAGAGAAGAAAATGAGCGATCAAATTCTGGTGATCCTTGAACACTTTAAGCAGCCCAATCCAGTTGGGATTCCCGGAGCTGATGTACCCGACCCGTATCCAGTGCCAGATATGAAGCAATCTCTGTCCCTTGGCACTTTATATTTTAAAAACACTGCCGTATATGGAATAAGTAACTTTAAAATTTTATACGTGAACGCAGAAATAGGAGCTATGGAGGTTAGTTTGATATAATCACTTAAAATCGTGACCTACAGTGTTGCATTTTATTGTTATAGGTATCTTAGTTCATTTTAAAATAAAAATATTGCAACCGCAAAATTTATTGTTATAAAAATATCAAGAGTTAAAACTCGCGTATAACGTCGCTTCTTATAAAACGTGACGTAATATAAATTATTAAAATGTTACATACAAGCTTTCGCCCGCGATTACGTCCGCGTGAAATTAAAAAAAAAAAAGTAAGTAGCCAATGTGTTCTTCCAGACTATGCTCTACATCTGTACCAAATTTCATCTAAATCTGTTTAGCCGTTTAGGCGACAAACTCTAAGAAACATCCACACATCCATCCAACTAAACTTTCACATTTATAATATTAGTATGAATATGATAGTATGATTGTGATCCTAAATTAAATTCAAGTCTTCTAAAAACGGTTCTTTAATTACAGGTTAACGCTGCATTAGCAATAGACAAAATACAAGCCCGAGGTAACTATACTCTGTCCACGTGGCTAAACAGAGCTCAGGGACCTTTCACTGTTGACATATCTGGTCTTAAAATAATGGCTAAAGCCACATTGGGCGTCGAAAGAGATGGAAAACTACAAGCGCAAGGCATAACTATAGACCTGGGGTTCACCAACATTGCTGTCAATTTTGAAAATTTAGGTTTCTTCGGCAGCATGTTCCAAGGAATTGTAAACTCAGTGGGCACATTCCTATTTGATTCTATCAAGCCATATGTACTTAAAGAAG